GAGACTAGCTGTAAGTGAAACTCGGGGGCCCGTTGAGTCGCTGAAAGTGGGTACCGATTTTGGAGTCAGTGTCGCAATAATAATAAAAGTTTAAGTCGAAAGTTTGGGGAGGTGATAAGGATAAATGATAATGATTAGAGATAAGGTATGGGGCTTTGGCGGGAATGTAAAATGTTTCAGCTTCTAGCAATCCGTTTCGACTGGTGTAAATGGATATTTGAACGGTCTCCTATGGTCTGTAAGGTGCTTTTTCATTTGTAAAAATGTATGAAAATGTGTAGGTCGATTGTCTAGCAATCAGTCATTAACGGTGAAAGTCGATATTAGATACCTAAAGCTGCCTGATTCGTAAGGTTCTGGTTTGTTTTTAGCTGTATATTTGAGTGTCTAGCTATCAGTTATCACCGGCATAAGTCGATATCAGAATGGTTCCCGGTGTATGCCACGCACAACACGGATCGTGCTTGGTTGCGAAGCGTCTATATCAGGCATCCGTAAAGCGTCGTCTTTCCGGTACCTCCGGGTCCGTCAACGTAGAATGTTTTTGCCACGTCTCCGTTGTCATCGACTGCCTCCATGACACGGTCGAACACTGTTCTCTGTTCGTTATGCATGTCGGCCACTTGTTGTGACCACCGAGCCGCCACCTCTACGACACGGAACAGTTGATCGTCCTGCTCCGGTTCTAGTAGACGGACATCAGGGTAGGGCAAACCGTAGTCGTCGAGCGTTTTTCCGTGTACTCGAAGTAGGTCTCCAATTGCGTTGAGAATCGCGGCCCTCGCGCGGTCGACGACTTGCAAACGGCGATTGAAGTCTTCCACCATGCAATCCTCGTAGCTCGTGTAGAGCCTCAGCGATTCCGCTGGATTGCAGTGCGCCAGTATCGTGACAAAGAGATACCGAAGTTGCCCGGGGGTGTCCAAAGCCGCAGACTCTTTCATGCACGCATGCCACGCCCGGTCGTCTTCTATGAGACCCAGAGCGATTGCCGCAGCCCCGTATGTCTCGTGCACGATCCCGTTGACCGTTCTTATGTTTCGGAAAGACTGTGGGCCTCTCCGGTGCAGAAGTAATAGTCGCAGGTGGAATCGGTGCTGATCCATCGGGCTAACGGCGTACATCCGAGCTAACGTTTCATTGGCCGTGCGTCTTTGCCGCCGCGACCATGTCCTGTTCGCTTGGTTCCATGTATAATGTACCGGTATCTCGTGGTACAGGTACTGTCTTGCCCCCACGTCGTTTGTGTTGAGCGCAAAGAACTCCGTTAGTTTTGTACGGCGCTGGTTAGCGTTGTGTAACCGTTCTACAGCACGTCCAGGAGCAAAGTACACAGTATGAAGATCTTCCAGGTGGACCGGAAGTCTTACAATAGTGTGACTTCTCTTATGCATTTCATAAGAAAACATCCGCCAAATGCCTTCAGGCGGACTGACGTATCGCGAGTTGACGTAACTGAAAACAAAATGAACTCAATGTAATACAATGAAAACGTAACAAAATTACAAAGTCTTAATAGAGAACTGTGTCACTCATTGATAGGTAATGACCGCATGAATGAAATAAACGACAATGAACATTAGTTAAAATTATTAATTATACCCAGGCTTGATGGAAGTTTACTAAATTAAGTAATTGTACGTCAACTGCACAAAGAAAGTATAAATTAAAATGAGTAGAATTATACAGTGTAGTGTATGTTTAAAAAAAAATTCTATATCGGTCAACACGATAAAGACTGTTGGAATGTTATCAAAATATGCATGTATTGCAGTTATTCATTTTTTATTACATCAATTTGTTGTCTGTGTGAAACACTGCAACGGTATGGGTTTAACGTGAAATGGATGACAGTTATAGTTTAAAATAAAATCTATACCTACCTATCCACATTGAAATAGTAACAATGTCATGTGTTAAATGACTTATTGTCATAAGTAAATGAGGTATACTCGTTTAATGCATATGATTTGTTAATTTCATAGTCACATATCAATTTTAATTCAGTTTGTATATTTAAAACAAATGTTTGCCACTAACTGTGTGTGTAACTCTACACCAATATGAAATTAAAACAATAATAATGAGTTAAAAATAATCGTGCAAAAATTATAAACTATAACTATTCATATTAAAATGGATTTGAATGGCACCACAGTTTATGAGTAAAAATGAAATAGTTTGCTGAGTTTAAACATACATACCTACTACTATAATATGTACATTAATCAAGTCTGTAAAATTGTTTGTATGTCATGTGAAAGAAGTCAATGAATGTATTTATCTACACCTACTGCGAGAACATAAAAATGCGTGATGTGCAATTGAAAGAAATGCAGAAAATATTATTATGTAGTTAAAAGGCTAAGTGTAAACACATAATAAAGGTTAAATATTGGAATCGTATATAATCAATTCACAGTATGATTTAAAAATGGTTTGACGGTTAAAAAAAAATCTAAATGCAAAGGTTATGATCATGTATTATGTACACTGTCAAGTGGGTATAGTTTATGTAATTATTAGTTTATAGAATATTTATTATGTTTATTAACGCAAACAATAATGCTATTAAGACTCTGCGTGTGAAAAGAAGAAATTATTGAATGTGCTTACCTTAACAACTCATCGCCTTCTTGTATAGCCAATGTAACAGCGTCGTGACCCTTAAAGACATATTTATAAAGGTACTTAACGCTCTTAATGGTAGAGCACACCTCAACATTGATGTGTGCGTCATATTTGGCAAGCAGATACGGACTGTGTGGAACGACAAACCCATTACCAACCTCTCGTTGTCTGACAAGGATCACCCGACCATCATTTGGACGACGGTACATGGGATAGCCATCATCTGAGACGAACACCGTCTCATCACTGTATGGTTTTGGATACTTTTTTGAACAAATGTTATCCACCATACATGGACTGTTGAGGTTAATTGGTCCACAAGGTCCGTGAATCATGTGAGACACAACGCAGTCATGCAGACGCCGATTAATCGTCGGGTCTGGAAAGGAGGCACTCACAACGTTGTCGACGTCCTCGGAGTCAAGCAACTTACTGTCGTCCCTAAGGATGATCAGTATGTGTGCGTGTGGTAGACCGCGTTTCTGAAATTCAACAGTGTATATATAAGCATTTACATTTCCAAAAATCCTATTAACCGTTATGTCACGCATGAGGTCCTTAAGTTTAGCGTGGAACACCCGGGCCACCATGTCAGGCCTGTCATTAGCCGAAGAGTGAGTCCCTAGGTTATCCCTGATCTCTGGCCATCTAGGATTGCATGTAAAAGTAATGGACAGGTCAGACTTACCTTATTTTCTCACAACGGCCATAGCGTCGTGGTAACACTGTTTCATGTAACGCGGACTTCCAACGAACGTTGACGGTAAAATGACCCTACGGCCGACGGCCAAGGGGTCAGGTGCATCCACATGTAGCTGTTGATTGACGTAGTCCTTGATATGCGTCTGCAAGGAGCGTACCCTGATTCTGACGAATGTAATTTAGATTGTTTGATTCAATTCGAACATAAAGATCACACACGTATTGTTGTAACAAAAATCCACCTCTGTGTAATATGCTGAACCAGTCGTTACGCAAGTCGTTGTTTTCTTGATATCGAATAGCCATCCGATAACAACCGTACTCTCGGATAGTGTTCCGTACGCGGACGGCGTTGACGCGGTTGACCTGTTGCATCATGTTGGTATGCCAACCGGCTTCACCGCATGGAAACAACACTGGATAGAGCATTGGATCAGCATGGCATGAGTTTGCAGGTAATGTCTGCATCCGGTGTTGAGGGTCAATTGGATTTCTGTCGTAGACGACCAGATTGATGTCTCTGGGTGGTCGCCCACAGTCACCGACAAACATAGCCACTTCATCTGCGGTGGGTAAACTATATCGCCTTTGGTCTCTGGCTGCATCGGTAACGAAATGCATAGTGACCGCCCTGGGTGCCACTGTGGGATCATTTCTACCCCGGGCTTCTTCATCTGAAAACAATTGACTCATGTTGCTGTAAATATTTATTTCAAGTTAACCAAACACATTCTAAGCAAGGGGGAAGATAATGTACAGGAACAATGAAGTCATATAGTAGTGCATCATTTAGTTTATGAAATTTGTTTTGCATAATGTACTATGTTCTATTGCAGTAGTGCATAATATATATATACAGAACTGCTTGTAATAGATGAAGGAAAAAACATTATGTCATAATATATCAAGATGGTAAGGCATGGTCATTTTACAGTTTAAATAAATGCTATCATTTATTAGTACTAATTGTATGAATTAAATAAATGATAGTTAAGTGTAATATGTAGTGTGTACAAATTCTGAATTATGAAAAATTAATTTTGATAACCGTATCAAAAATTTTAAGTAAGAAAGTATTAATTGAAATTATACATGGTATGCTGTAAATTGTTATTACTCATTATACTGGTAAATACTGTTGAAATGTTATTGAAATAAAAATATAATGTAAATTACTTTACCAATTTGTTCTATTTGTGAAATTCTAAGATATAATGACCCGTTAATAATAAATTTAAAAAACGTTTGCAAAAATCAGTAATCATTTACATATTGTATATTGATGAGTATTTTACAACATATGGGTGGCTTGACGTTAATGTACAATTTAAATTGTTGTAACATTATATTATATTATTATGTAGACGGGTAGTTTTATGTATTGCGGATTGTCTGGAGGTGTGCGTTTTTTGCATGATGCAGTAGTGTGTCCCACTCCTTTACATAAGAGGCATGATCTTGTCGTCAGTAAAAAATATTCGAAACAATGTTTGGTTGTTATTGATGACTAAAGAGCCGGGTATATTGTTTATGTCTTCTTGTTTGATAAATATTTGTCGACGAAAGCTCCGTATGTGTTCGAAGCCTTCGATATTTATTCCGGCTAGAATTATTTTATATTACGGTCAAACCCACTGTGTTTTAAACACATCTTTAATAAACAAATGACAATTACTCAAACTACTCATAATATGTTTTCTGACACGGTTGCTGACAAAATATTTCACTGTTCGCCGTATCCACTGCTATTCACAGTATTGGCTTACTAAAAACTTATTGAACACAATAAGTACAGTTAATGTTATTACAGATACTTACAATGGACTTTATTTTAAATGTTATAACATAAACATAAATATTTTTCTCGCACAGTTATCAATGTCTGTTCTACACAAACATTGAATTGAATCTATAGTAATGCATTTTTGATTTGCAAGTTGTGATCTAAATATTTTATCTGTTATGCAAGCACTGTCGGGGTTGTAGCTCACTTTATTAAAAATATAAACGTACAGCGTACTCACCTCGCACAATGGCGGCATGCATTCACATCCTATAAAACCAATTGATCAATATACTACAAAACATAAACCTTACACCTGCGACTTATAAAATATATCATTGATGAATTCACTTAATGCATATAATAAGTATCTACACTTACTTGTAGAGTGCCACACATTCTTAAAATATAAGTTATTGTTAGCGTAAGAAGTGTGGTCTAGCAAACTCTTCAGAGAATTTCTCCTGTTTTGTTATAAGTACTCCTTAATTTTCATTTTTTAAGAAATGATTAACAATGTATTTGTGTTGTTTCGATTATATATTAAATATAATCACACTGATTTCAATACTTTTATTAAGTCATAATAATTATATGTCAATGTTTTTCACTTGAAAATTTCGAGCTTCTAAAAATGACCACACTCTTAATTGTTCAGTACTCGCACACCTACTACATTAAGATTGTTGGGTATTGTCACAGTTAAAACTGATGAACTCGCTGTATTATAATGTGACATTAATAAGGGTTTTCATAAACAATGAACAAAATACTTATGCGTTTTCATACACAGTTGAATATCAATGAAAATACAATTGTGTCTTTTCTAAACTCAACCTGACTTATAGGCACCCGGGGACATCCACAGGATGGAAGGAGAAGTCGTGGGCGTTCACGTGGAGGCAGTGGACGTAGTCGTAGTACAGGTAGACGACGTTGAATTCGTCGACGTCCCGACTGATGTAGAGGAGGACGTAGAAGTCGTCGTAGTGCAGATAGAGGACGTGGACATGGACGACGTGGAAGTAGTCGACGTCCCAATGGACGAAGCGCTAGCAGAACTGGAGTTCGCGGAGATGCTCGGCGTATTGCAGCCACACGTCGACGAAGAGGTCGGTAAATATGTCGTATTTATAAAAAACCAAAATTATCGTCATCATTTATATTGCAGTTCGGACCTATTCCAGTGGTAGTTCTGGTGGAACGACCCAGAGAGCACGCGCTCATGATCGACCGGACAGCGGGCGTGACGCACCCGCTTCCAGAGCGTTACCACGTGGGCGCGTTGACTGCTGTCTGCCGGCACTGTGATGCACGTCACTTCCCCGACGAGCGTACGACCGCGGGTCACTTCTCCACGTGCTGCAACAATGGTCAAGTGACCGCTACAGGTGACCGTGTATTGTTTCCCGCCCTGTATCTGTTGATGAATTTGTTGACTTCTGATTCACAGGACAGTCGTAGATACCGAGCGGACATCCGTCGGTACAACAACGCTCTGGCATTCGCGGCGTTCACCAGCAGCGTAAACCCTAGACGTTTGCCAGGGTGTTCACTTAAAGTATTCATTTAGTTCTCTAGGTATATCCACCACGATTATAATTCGAATACTTGTATTTTTCACTTACACCTACCCAAACTGTTTTCTATTGTAAATGTCTGTTCGTTTAAATGACTCTACGTTATAATAGTATATAATTTGATTCTCGCTCAGCCTCATACAATAATTATAACAATTATTACAACACTTGACAGTAAGAAGATATAGTTTTAGCCGTCTTATACATAGCATTGTATTTGTTTTCAGTTTCGTAAACACAAGATACGTCAGCCCGCCAGAAGGCATCTGGAGGCTGTTTTCATACGAATTGCACAAAAGATCGTCAGACTTCCTGTCCACCTAGAAGGTCGACAAAACGTCTACTTTGCGCCGGGACAAGCGCAAGAGCGGTTGCAAAACGAAGCTCTACATCGTACGAGGCTAACTGAGTTCTTCGCGCTCAACATAAACGACGTGGAAGCTCGACAATACCTGTACACCGATATACCGACGCATTACACGTGGAACGCGGCTCAGCGGACGTGGGCGCGGCGCCGGAGAATGATGGCAAACGAGACGTTGGCTCGGATGTACATCGTCAACCCGCTGGATCGGGACCGTTTCCACTTGCGACTGCTACTACTGAACCGAAGAGGTCCGCAGTCCTTCCAAGACATAAGGACGGTGGACGGGGTCGTTCACGGAACGTACACCGCGGCGGCCGTCGCACTCGGGTTATTGGAAGACGACCGAGCGTGGCGGGCCTGTCTGACGGAATCGGCGGCGTTGGACACACCGCGGCAACTGCGATATCTGTTCGTCACGATACTGGTGTTCTGCGAGCCGTCAAACCCGCTGGCGTTGTACGAGGCGAACGAAGCAAACCTGATGGAGGATTTCAATAGTCGCCTCCAAGACGTCGACCGCGCGAGGGCCGCGTGTTTGAACGCCATCGGGGATCTACTTCGTGCGCACTCTCGAGAGTGAGAAACGCACAGTCACTGAGAGTCGGCATGTACACCGATGTCACCAAGAACATCGTGTACAGGGAGGTTCTGGACTGATGCGTTGGTAAGCATATCGGTTTAACACGGTTAATATATTTTTCAAACATAATATATTATGCTGCTGTTATTCTTGTAAGATATCACACATAGCTCTGATACGGCTACTATATTTTTCAAACACAATATATTGAGCTGTGGTTAGGTAAGGTTAGGTCTTTGTGGTGGAAAGAAAGTTTGACAACCTCTCTGGATGCGGATTCACTACGATATGAGTTTATAGTGAATTCGTAACTAATGTAAACATTTTTATTGTCTTGTTATGTATTCGATAACTGTTATTAGCTATAGTAATATGTTTACAATATGTCTGTTACATAAACTATATTATGTGCCTTAAACATTATTTACTTATATAATAAGTCCGGAGACTTTTCACCTCCCCGCCGTATACGTATTCAAGTTCCCCGCTAAATTTATAGTCGTTTCAAAAACGAGTCCCGGGGAGGAAACGAGAATAGGTACGTTAGTGGTATCGCTACTATATACGGGCATAAATAC